TGGAGCACAACACAGCCTAGTATGGCACAGCACAGAGTGGCACAGCCTGGTACAGTGCAACAGGGCACAGCTGCCTCCCGCAGCACAGCACGGCTCAGTACAGCACAATCCAACACTGCACAGCACAGCTTGTCCCGGCCCGGCCCAGCCCAGGCCAGTGCTGCTCAGCTGACACGAGAGGGTCAGTACGGCCCACCCAGGCTGGATGGCCCCCTGGCCCACACCGCTCACACACGACACAAAGTTGCTGGGGTTCAGCACCACCTCTCCCACATCCCTGCCCCTCTGCAAGCTCTCTCCCGGGGGCACAGACATGGGACAGAGGAGTCCTCCTGTGTCCCAGCCCCGGCACCCCCACACTACCCAGTGCTGGTCCGCACGCTCCCCCATGGTGTCACCCCCGCACCCTGCCGGGCACAAACCCGCGCCCGCCCCCCCGAGACACCCCACGGGTCCGTGAGGACACCCTCCACAGCCCAAGCGTCGCTGCCGTCCCACGAACCACCCCGCACTACGCCCGATTCCCTGCCACGCCATCGCGTGGGGTTCGGAAAGCAGCACCAGCGCTACAGAGGGGTCCCGTCCCCCCGCGTCCCTCCCCGCGGCACCGCGCCCCGTCCCCCTCCTCCCGCCGCCGGACCTCCACCCGACGTGCCCCCAGGACTCGGGGACGGGGGAGCGGGGTGTCGCAGCGTCCCCGCTGTTTAGCGACCGGCCGCCCACTCCCGCCCAGTCCCCGTCGGCCTCCGGGACAGCCCCTCGCCGGCCGTGGCACCGGAGCGCGCAAGGCCAGGGGGGTGGGCGGACGAAGCGGGCGGAGGGGGGTCCAGAGATCGAGGGGGACCGCCGGGGGCCGCAGGCGGGACTCGGGAGCGGCGGGGGGCGCGGAGCGGGGCGGGCCAGCCTACCTGCTGCGCGCTGCTCCGCCGGCTGCGGCCGCCAAAGGACGGGACGCCTGTTGCTCCCGGGATCCCCCCGCTGGCCCCCGCCCGTGCCCCCGGGACTTCCTTCCCGCCGGCTCTGACGTCACTCAGGGACCCCCTTCCTCGCGCAGTGACGTCAGAGGGGGACACCCCTCCTGGCGGCGGGGCGGTGCGCGGGCTCGGGGCCGCCTGCCTGCGCCTCCTCCGCCGCGCCCGCCGCGCCGCCGCCGCGCTCATGGCCTTCGCCGCCCCGCTGCTGTTCCGCCTGGGGTGAGTGAGCGAGAGAGCGAGCGAGCCAAAGAGGGAGCGGTCGCCCTGCGGGACCCCCGCAGCGAGGCAGCCGCCACCGCCCGCCTTTGTGCTGCCGCCGGGAGGGAGGGCCCGGCAGCGCCCTCCCCTGCCGGTGCCGAGCGCCCGGGGAGGAACCTGCGGCCGCGGCGGCGCGGAGAGAGCGGGCTGGGGCCTGGCGCGCCCCGGCCGGGGCAGCGGGGGCGGGCGGTGCCGGCGCGGCCGCCGGGGCCGGGGATCGGCCACCCGCTCCCCCCGCGCCGTGCCGGTCGCCTTCTCTCGGCTGTCACCGCTGACCTGCCCCGGCGCCCCGGCCGTGGTGCCCGGTGCTGGCAGGAACCCCTGCTCCCCGGGTTCGGGCTCCCACGCTGCTGCAGGGATCGCTCCCGGTGTGCCATCCAGGGGTGCCCTCGGCCGGGAATGGGCTTTGCAACCCGGGTTTTTGCATGTCCCTCATTGCACCATTCTCCGTCCCGTCCCAAATTGCTGCTGTGCAAACGGGGAGGTCCCTCCGAGCCCCGCAGCCTTTGCACCCTCGCATGCACGGGGGCATTTCTTGCCTCCCTTTTCCTCGGCCCATTCTCTTTTCTGATTCCCCAGACCATGGCAAGCTTGGGCATGTCCCCCCATCGGAGTATGGGGAGGAACAGCCAGCTCCAGCCCCTCCTGGTGAGCACCCCGCAGCAACACCCCCCCCAGTCCTTGGCGCTCGAAGGAGCTGGAGGATGCCTGCTCAGGGAACCAATCCTGCCCTCACTGCACATCTGGGGTGTGCGGTACACACACACCGCCTGCAGCGCCCCTGAATGAGAAAGTGGCCCTGTGTGTGTTCCCTGTGAGAGTCACAGCCCCGGCAGTAGCCCCCTTCCCAAGTGGGCTCCTTAGGGGAACTGGGGTTTAATGCCTGTCTGCCCTCCCTAGGTACAGCCTGTACGCCCGCACACGCCTGGGCTACCTCTTCTACCAGCGGCAGGTGAAGAAGGCCCGGGAGCGGTACCCGCACGGCCACTCCGTGCCCCAGCCCTACTGCCTCCCTGGTGAGTGCTGAGCCCCCCACACCTCGCCCTGCAGTGCCCCCAGCGCTGGCACTGCGGGCTGGGGAGGGGGTTGCCATCACCGAATTGCCCAAAGCATGTTTAACAAAGAATTTGATGTAAGATGTGGGGAGTTTGGCCTGGACTCCCCCTTTTCCAGCTGGAGGGGGGATCATGCCCTGATTCTGTCTCTTCCCCCCACAGGGGTGAAAATCCTGCCCATTCCCGTACTCTCCAACAACTACAGCTACCTGGTCATCGACACTGGCTCCAGCCAAGCGGCTGTCATCGACCCCTCTGACCCGCTGGCTGTGCAGGTGAGACCCCCACAACCACTCTGACCTGCTGTTTGCAGGTCTCCAGGTGAGCGGGTGCCATGTCTCTGTGTTTTGGCATTAGAGGGGAGCAAATCTGCCCCTAATATGCAGCCCTTCGTGCCCAAGGCAAGACTGGAGCTTGACGGGGAGCTGGGGGAGCCAGGGTTGAAGGGAAAACTGGTCCTTGGGTTTCCTGTCCCCCCTAATCTCTCTGTCTGTATTTCCTCCCCAGGCTGCCATCGAAGAAGAGGGGGTGATGCTGGAGGCCATATTCTGCACACACAAACACTGGTAAGGGCAAGAGGAGGCCCTGGAAGGGTTGGTAGCTGCTGTGGAGACAGCCCCACCTGAGGTGACCCCCAGCCCTGCCCCATTTAGTGGGGGGAGTATGGCGGGTACATTTAGGGTCTCTGACCTCCCTGTCTGCAGGGACCACAGCGGAGGGAACGAGGCTCTGTGCCAGAAGCACAGCTCCTGCAGGGTGTATGGCAGCGCCCTCGACGCCATCCCACAGCTCACCAAGTAAGTGCTGCACCCCCCTAGCACCCCGGTAAATCTGGGGGGAGCTTCATTCCCAACCACCACTGTCTGCAGCACTCAGGCACCAGTTCCACGTTGGGCAGAGACCTGGCACGCTCCTGACACCAGCGTGCCAGCAGGGTTGCCAGGGGAGGGGTGTATTTGAGGTGCTGGGGCTGGGGGAGCACCCTGACGGTGCCCCTGCTCCGGGCACAGCCCGCTTGCAGACAGGGAGAAGGTGACCGTGGGCTGCCTGACCTTCGAGGCGCTCGCCACGCCGGGCCACACCGTGGGCCACATGGTCTACGTGCTGGACGGGGGCCCCTTCGGCAGCCCCCCCTGCCTCTTCTCCGGGGACCTCCTCTTCCTCGCTGGCTGTGGTGAGTGCACCCCACCCCAGACAGGGGCTTGGGGGTTATCCCGTCCTGGGATGGGCGTAGGGGTACCCCCCAGACCCCCCATGACAGGCAGTTGTGTGGGGGTCCAGGCAGGCCGTTTGAGGGCTCCCCTGAGACCATGCTCGCCTCCCTGGACGTGGCCATCGGCTTGGGCGAGGACACGCTGCTGTGGCCAGGTGAGTGTCCCCAGCAGCAGGGCAGAGCTGCTGGCATCCCCCTGGTCCCACTGCCAAGGGGGAGAGCTGGGTGGGGGTGATGCCAAGGGCTGCATATGGGGGTCCACAGGCCACGAATACGCACTGGAGTGCCTGACCTTCGCCACCCTCCTGGAGCTGGACAATTCCGCGCTGGAGGAGAAGCTGCAGTGGGCAGTGCAGCAGCGCCAGGAGAAGAGGAGCACGGTGAGGCGTGGGGGTCCCTGCGTGCAGCACCCACCACCCCAGCCCTTCAGGGGTTCCCTTGGCAGGGATGCTGCACCCCAACACCCTCTTGCATGGTGGTGCCATAGGGGCAGGGGGCTCTGGGGGCGTTCCCAGCTCCCTGCCGGGGGTGCTGCCTCCAGCAGGGGAGCTGAGCAGCTGCCCCCACAGTGCCCCTCCACGCTGGGGGAAGAGCAGAGCTACAACCCCTTCCTGCGGACGCACCGGCCGGAGCTGCAGGAGGCACTGGGACTGTGGCAGGGCGGCGCGGAGGACCCCAACGCCTTCCGTGCCCGTGTCCTCAGGGAGGTGCGGAGGCGCAAGGACCTCTACCAGGCCACCTAGATGTCCCCCACTGCCCGGTCCCCCTGTCAAGCCAGGACACCCCCCTTTCCACGGGGCCGGGTGATGGCGGGGCACAGGGAGCCCAAGACTGTGTGGTTTGTTTTGCTGTGAATCTCCCTCTTGGGGTGCAGGGTAGGGGGAGGGGGAAGAGTGGACACCCCCTTCAGTAGGCACCCCATAAGTGATCCTTGCCTTTGCTCCCTCGAACTTGGGGGTCACCAGCTGTCACGTAGAAGCACCTCAATCCCCTCTCGGGGGGTCTGTAGCCCCCCACCTCACTGCTGGGGCTATAGGAACGGCACCAAGGGCTTCTCCTACAACCCCCTCCACTCCCCCATTTTTCTGGGAGTCTCCAATTTCCCCTCCACCACCACCACCACCACTCAGCCCCCTCCCCTTAAGCCCCCAGTGTTGTGCATCTCCTTAGTGGGGGCTGGGATGGAGCCAGCAGGGGGAGGCGGGCCGGCAGTACTACCTCCAGGCAAGGGGCTCCCCTGCAGCACCCCATCCTTGACGCCGGAGCCCCCCTGTACACGCACACACACACACGCACACAGGGACGGGGCCACAGGCTCGCACTGCTGGGGTGTGGGGGTGCTGCTTCACTGGGGATCGGAGCCACAATCACCCCCACGCCCCAAATAAACGACTGGATCCATTTTACACCTGTTCGTGCCTTTCTCCCCTCGCCGGCGGGGCGCGGCCCCTTTAAGGGGCGGGGCCAGGGCGTTGCCGGGAGACGGGCGGCGTCGGGGCCCGGGTCCGGCAGGGCGGGGACCGGGGGTGGCGGGGCTGGGGACACGGGGCTGGGGGGTGTCCCTGCCCCCCGGGTCACGCGTGGGGCGGGCACCGCGGATCGGGGAGCCCCGGCGCCCCCTCACGCCGGGGTCCGGCAGCAGGAGCCCCAGGCGAGGCATGGAGCCCGCTCCCCAGAGCGCGCAGGACACCGCGAGCGTGGCGGACGCTGCTGCCGAGTTCCTGAGCCTCATCGGTGCGTGCCTCCTCCTCCTCCAGCCTCGCCCTGTCCTGCCACACCGTGCCCGCCGCGAGGTGGGGGGCACCGGGCCCGAGAGTGAGGGATTGAGAGGGTAAATGGCCAGGGGCTCGGCCCAGCCTGCAGGGGGATGGAGACACGGAGGGACACTGGGCAGGGGCGACACTCACTTCGGGAGGGAGTGACCGCAGTGACCATCTCCTCGCGGTCACTGTCCCTCTGGGCTGGGGTCACCATCCCTCCGTGCAGGGCTGAAGGAGCTGGAGTGGTGCCTGTTTGCCGAGACGCTGGCAGTGGTGGCCGCGGGGGCCCCACCAAGGCACAAGGCAGAGGGCCAGTGGTGGATGGCAGCCCAGTGGGCACCCTACCATCGGGAAGGGGAGCCGGGGCAGAGCTGCATCCTGGTGCAGACCAGGTTCCGAGGCAAGCAGGATGGTGTGCCTGCCTCCAGCACCCTCAAAGGTGAGCCAGCGGTGGCTTTTGGGGGGCTCCTTCTTCCCCAGGGCTGGGACATCCCTGTCCACCAGCCCCCAGGGCTGGGAATGGGGACAGTGCCAACGGGACTGGTTGAGCATGGCTTTGCTCTGCCAGCCTATGTGACCTGGCAGCTGGAGACGCTGGAGCAGGAGGAGCAGGAGTGCCTGGAGGTGACTGATATGGTGGTGGCATGTCCCCTTCCCTGTGTCCTACCTGCTGCCCTGGGCTGTGCCCTGCACTGGTGCCCTGCTGGGGGCTGTCCCCTGTGGGTAGTCTGGCATCCCTTGCCATGCTCAGACTCCAGCTCTGCCCACCAGCCCGGTCCCCATCCCCTGCTCTGGGTGGCAGCTGGGGTGGGGAGTTTCCCACAATGCATCTGGAATGGTACCCCGACTGGCAGCGCTGCTGGGGCTGCCAGCTCACAGGAGGGCGCCCTGGCTCTACCCTCCCCCCCGTGCCTCCCACCCCTCCCGCAGCTCAGACCACACCCCACCGAGAAGACGACGCACATTGTGAGCCACGAGCACGGGATGACGGTCACCAAGACCCTGCAGCAGGGAGAGGTGGGGCTGAGGGCAGGGTCACACCCTGGCAGGGGCAGCACAGCTCTCACCAGGGATGCCCAGGCCCTGGAGTGGGGCTGAGGGCAGGGTCACACCCTGGCAGGGTGCCCAGGCTCGGGCGTTGCTGTCCCTGGGGACGCTGGGGCTGTGGCTGTGCCGCGAGGTGCCAGGTCTCTCTGCAGGCGGAGCCGCAGTGCCACAGCTTCTCGTACGGCCGGGCCAGGCTGCGGGCGCGGCTGCTGGAGGGGGCCAGCCTGCTGCTGCTGCGGGTGCTGGCACGCCGGCAGACCGTGCCCCCCGGCCTTGTCTTGCCAGCCATCGACAGCGAGGGCCACCTCTGCACCTCCCGCTATGTGAGCCTGCCAGCAGGGCCCGTGGGGCGGGATGTGGGAAGTGGGAGGGGGCGGAATGTGGCTGACAGCGTGGCGGGACACACGGGGATGGCAGGGGGAGCAGGGGTGACTCTGAGACAAGGCTGACCCCCGGTGCACCGCCCCAGTGTGCCCTGGGCATCCAGCGGCAGGCGCTGGGCTCGGCAGAGACAGAGGTGTTTGTGATCCAGCGGGTCCTGCACGGCAGCACGGGCGCTCCCACCGTGTGGCACAGCAGCTTCCTGCCCAACGGGTAAGGGCAGAGGCACCAGCCCTGCCACTCCCGAGGGATGGCACAGCATGGGAAGGCCAAGGGCTCTTCTTCCCCTCTCAGGCGTCTGGCTCAGATGGTGCAGATTGGCTCCCCGGTGCTGATGATTCTACAGGATGAGTCCATCCTCAGCAAGTCAGGTACTGAGCAGGGGAGGCTCGTGCCCCCTCAGCACAGGCAGCCCCTGCCCGCTGTCTGGAACACCAGGGGGAACACCCTGCCCTGCCTTTCTGCTGCCAGGTAGGTTTGAGCCCCAGCTCCCCTTCCCCAAAGAGCCCCTGGACTGGGAGGAGGACAAGGAGCTCTACTCCTATTTCCTGGACAGGAAGGTAAGATGGGTGGACATGGGGACAAGGGACATGGGGCTGTGCCAGCCTCAGCAGGGTCTCCCCTGGTGTGCCCAGGAGGCACATTGAGGGGGCAGGCCAGCCAACATCCTTCCTCACACCATCTTAAGTGTGGGAAAGGACCCTGGCTCCTGTCCCCCTCACCCTGGCACAGTGCCCATGGGGGAAACGTGTGTTCATGCCCACCTCACCCACCCTGTCCACCCCACTGCAGGATGAGCTGCAACTCTCCCATGCTGCCTACCTCCAGCAGCACCCCGAGGTGCGGGCACTGCTGTCTGACTTCCTCCAGGCATTGCTCCTCCAGCAGCCACACGACACCATCTCCTTTGCTGCGGAATTCTTCGCCCACCAGCGGCCCATTGGGACCCCCTTTGCCTCCATGGGGGCTGCCAGCCCCCTCCCCAACTCCCCAGCTGGCCACCCTCCAGCCAACAGCAAATAAAGCAGCCAGCACTGCCTGTCCAGTCTTGTTTGCTTTGGAGAAACTGAGGCTCGGGGAGGGCAGGTGGAGCTGATCTGTGTGCTAAGCCCCACCATGCCTTCTGGTGGGACCCTGTCCCTGTCCCAGCCCTTTTTCAGGGGGTGGGGGTGCCTGGGCCATACTGTGGAGCAGGGCCAGGCTCACATCCCTGTGCCTGCCACCCCCCCACGTGTTCCTGGGGACACCCTTGCCCATGTCCCTGAGGGACACAGCCTGGCTGGCAGAAGGGTACTCACTTTTGCAGGCACAGCTTGACACTGCAACACTGGCACACCACGCTTGGGGTGAAGGTCCTGCACCGAGGGTGGTGAGGGCACCCTGTGCCACAGAGCCTGCCTGCCTGCCTGGGTGCTTCCTCCAGCAGCCAAGGCTGCATTTTGGTCTCCTTATGCAACACGTGCCTGCTTCCTCCTCGCTCCCACTTCTATGGCATTTCCCCTACTCCCGTGGGGCCAGCCCTCCCTTCTCGCTCTGCGGGACGCTGTCCCCTGTCCCCACCGCCACCCGAGCAGAACCTTTGGCATGCGATGGACAGTGACAGGCAGACACGCTCCCACGGTGACGGAGCCTCGTGTTTGCACGTGTGTGAGGCAAAGGGGAGGGAAGGGGCCTCCTGGCACTGGAGCAGGGGGGGAACCGAGACTGTGTGTGCTCATAAGGGTAGGGAAGGAGCACTTCCTTCTCCTAGCCTCCTCCTCTCCTCCTGAGGAGGGGAGGGATGACACAACTGCGGGGGGGTCCTTTAAAAGCTGGGCAGCGGGCACTGCACTCACAGCTGAACTCAGGAATCCCCGGCAGTGTGGCTGGATCGGGTCCACCCATGGCATCACTGGAACCAGGTGAGCCTCACAACACTTCTTGGCCCCCCTTGTGCCTCCTTTCATGCCCTAGACCCCGTTCCCTGCACCCTGGGCCCCCTGGCTGTGCTCCATCTTTCAGTGGGCACCATCCCCCCAGCCTGTCCTGGATTCCCCATCTGTCCCATCCTCAAGCCTGGGAATCTGATTCAACCAATTCCCTGGATGTAGGTGGGCTGCAAAGGGGGGATTAGGACCAGTACCAGCTTCTTGTCCTCACTCTATGCCCATCCAGCAGCAGGAGCTGGAGCAGGGTTTCCTCCTGTCCCTGCTGCCCAGAAATGCACTTGGCTCTTGGACGGCTGAAGATGGGGCTCAGTCCAGGGGTTTTAGGGACACCTGAGCTGGAGGTGGCATCTGATCCCTTTGGGTAGCTTTTGATAGATCCCATATAGCCATCCTCATGCCCCCCCTGGAAAACTGGTGCTTTTCCCTGATGGGGTTCATCAGGCAGGGTCAGGTGGGACTGAAGGAAGCTGGTACCAGGGCTGCCAGCCCGCCAGCGTCCTTGTCCCCCTGGCAGGCTGCCACCTCCCTTCCTCTTCCTTGTCCCCCTCAGGCCTCACCAGGTCCCTGAACGGGGGCCCCATGCCCCCACAGCGCCCTGGCACTCAGGACCAGACGTATCTGGAAGAGCTCATCAGCATCCCCAAGGGCAGTGGGGTAGGTGCTGCGGGGCTTTCAGGGAGGGCAGGGGACCAGGACAGTGCTGCAGGGAGCTGGGGAGGCAAAGGGCCACTGCAGTGGGGAATATGTGTCTTGGTCATGCCCTGGGGACAAGCCCCCAGCTCCCCAGACCCAGCTCAGGCAAGTCACAGCCCTAGGTGGAGTGTTTCCATGCTTAAAGTTTTCCAGATGGAGAAACTGAGACAATGGGGCAAGGTGCTACCCAGGTGCAAGGATCACCCCACTGCTCACACACCACCTCCTGGGCCACGCATGGATGAGCCCAGTGGGGCTCCCCAAGGCTGCCTGCACCCCACCAGCCCCCCCATCCTTGTCTGGTCTCGGGGCAGTGGAACAAGAAGAGGAAGGAATAGTACTCCCTAGTCAGGAGGAGTAGCAAAAGCAGAGGACAGCAGTGGAATCCCATGGGATGCAATTAATAGTGCCTGACAGCCCTGGGACCCCCCTGCAAATCACTGTCCAATGGGTCAGACAGGGCTCACTGCCCCTCCAGCACTGCTGCTAACAGGGAGAGGCTGGGGACAGCAGTTCGGTTCCCTCTCCAAAACTTAGGAAAATTCCTAAGTTTTGGAGAAAATTCTCCAAAACTCCAGGAAAATGACCTCCGTGTGCTAAACACATCCATGCGGGCAGCGCCGGGCTAGAGGGGGCAGGATGTGCAATCAGGAGACGCTGCTTGTGAACGGAGCTCTGGCTCTGACCTGCTGCCTTGTCCCAGCCCGGATTCAGCTTTAGGAAACTCTGGGCTTTCACCGGTCCCGGCTTCCTCATGAGCATCGCCTACTTGGACCCGGGCAACGTGGAGTCCGACCTGCAGAGTGGGGCCCTGGCGGGATTCAAGGTGAGCCCGGCCCCGGGCTCAGGAAGCAGGCGGGGGTTTCGCAACCTCTCCAGCGCCAACGGCTGCCCCTGGCAGCTGCCATCCCAGCCCGGGAGCAGGAGGGGCACGGGGGCCTCGGCACAGGGTGAGGACACCCAGGGGTGCCAGGAGGGCACCCCCCTGACCGGGCTGGGAGAGCACCTGCACCCCGTCTCTTCCCTGCAACCCTGGTTGAACTGGGGCCCCCCGGGCGGCTGGATGCTGCCCAGTGCCCATTCCTGCTGCCTCCTGCCCCCCAGCTGCTGTGGGTGCTGCTGTGGGCCACCGTCCTGGGGCTGCTGTGCCAGCGCCTCGCCATCCGTCTGGGCGTGGTGACCGGGAAGGACCTGGGCCAGATCTGCTACCTCTACTACCCCAAGGTGAGCAACCACGGGGGTGACAGTCTGGGACCCTGTGCTTGGGCTGGTGACAGTCCTAGCGGAGCCTTGCAGGGCTGGAGAGGAGCAGGAAGATGCTGTGAGGCACCTGCCTCTCCCAGGGGCTCCCCAAAGCCCCCCAAGCCCCGGTGACCCCCACAGCCCTGCAGAGCAGGGGCCCAGGGTGAGAGGCGGTGAGGAGCTGCTGCAGTGTCCCGGTGTGACCTGGGGACACGTGAGAGCGTCCCCCGCGGGAGTGAGCCCAGGCGTGGGGCAGCAACGCGAGGCCGAGACGCAGGAAAGGGATCGAGAGGAGGGATCATATGACAGAGGAGGGGGGAGTCAGGAGACCCATCGAAGCCAAGATCCTGATGGGGGGAACAGCAAGGAGATGACTGGTGCCCAAAAGGAGGGTTGGATGCATCTCTCTGTCCCACCTCCCTCAAACCCCCCATCTAGACAGACGGGTCCTATCCTCAGCTCTCACTGGGGCAGGGATGAGGAGTGGAGGAACAGGCTTGGATTTAGCATCCATCTTTCATCCTGAGATTGTGTTGTGAAAGAAGCTGAGGGGGGTCTTCCGGGGTCCCCAGGCTACTCTAGCAGGCCTGCTACAGCCTGGAGACAGGGATTTGCACCAGGATGCTGTGCCAGCTTGCCCAGAGCTACGTGCCACTGCGGGCTCAGGCACCTCATGGTGGCCTGTCCCCTGCAGGTGCCGCGCGTGCTGCTGTGGCTCATGATTGAGCTCGCCATCATCGGCTCCGACATGCAGGAGGTGATCGGGACGGCCATTGCTTTCAGCCTGCTCTCAGCTGGCCGGTGAGCCTCCCCACAGCCTCCCCACGGCCCTGCTCCACACAGGGCCATGTATCTAACCCTGCCCCTGGCCATCCTGCAGCATCCCCCTCTGGGGCGGGGTCCTCATCACCATCGTGGACACCCTCTTCTTCCTCTTCCTCGATAAGTACGGTGAGTGCCAGGGTGAGGGCTGCGGGCACTGTCACCCACGTGGCACCAGTGTCCCCTGCTCTGTGCCACCCCCTCTCTTGACCTCTCTAGGGCTCCGCAAACTGGAGGCTTTCTTTGGCCTCCTCATCACCATCATGGCCCTGACCTTTGGCTACGAGGTGAATGGGGAGCTGGGGACAACCCTTTTCCTGCAAGGCTGCCAAGGGACCCTGCCATGCGGTGTCCCCACTGCTACCAGCCTGTGGCAGCTCACAGTGCCCCTTCTCACTGCTCCCCAGTACGTGGTGGTGAGGCCGAGGCAGGTGGAGGTGCTGAAGGGCATTTTCTTGCCCAGCTGCCCGGGCTGCGGGCGAAAGGAGCTGCTGCAGGCCATGGGCATCATCGGCGCCATCATTATGCCCCACAACATCTTCCTCCACTCCTCCTTGGTCAAGGTGAGATCACGGCACTGCCGTGGGCACTGCTCTGCCAGGGTGCCCCAGGGTACACTCGCTGGGGACAGCATGGTCCTGGCTGTGGGACAGGGGTGCTCACATGACCCCATGACACCCACGTCACTGGCCATGCCCAGACACGGGCGATCGACCGCTCCAGGAAGGAGGCAGTGCAGGAGGCCAATACCTATTTCCTGACCGAGTCCTGCCTGGCCCTCTTTGTCTCCTTCCTCATCAACCTCTTCGTCATGGCTGTCTTTGGCGAGGCGTTCTACCAGCAGCGCAACGAGGACGTGGTGAGTGTCACTCATGGCCACAGGGAGATGAGGGCTGTGCCCAGCTGGGATGAGCATCCCGTGGGGACTGCACGTTCTCATTCCCTGAGAGGGGATGTGTGGGCACCCCCTGTGCCTGGGGGAGCTGCTGGGTGGCTGTCACACTCGTGCTTGCCGTGCCTTGCAGCACAACATGTGCGCCAACAGCAGCATCAGCCAGTATGCCAGCATCTTCCCCACCAACAACGAGACAGTCTCTGTGGACATCTACCAGGGGGTGAGTGCCACCAGGCTGTGTCCAGTGAGCATCCATTCCCATCTGGGGGATGTATCACTGTCCCATCCACCCCTGGGGCTGGGGGCGGCTATAACCCCACTAGAAATCTGGGAGCTGATGGGAATGCCTGGGGTAGGGGGCACTTTAGGGTGCCCACCGCAGTGTCCCTACACAGGGTGTCATCCTGGGCTGCTATTTCGGGGCAGTGGCACTGTACATCTGGGGCATCGGGATCCTGGCAGCAGGACAGAGCTCCACGATGACCGGCACTTACGCAGGGCAGTTCGTCATGGAGGTGAGAGATGGGGATGCTGGCCCTCGCCCCACAGGGAGGGGCTGAGAGCAGGGAAATCCCCGGTGGGCCCTGGGTGGAGGGGTTCTATGGGCAGCACACTCTCCCCAGGAGTATTTGGAAGAGTTAATTGCCCGCCATCCCTGCAGGGAGCTGGTGGGTGGCAGCTTGCTAGCACCAGTGTGCCCCAGGAGGTGGGATGGAGACAGTGCCCACCCACTGCACCCTGTGTGCCCCACGCAGCGTTTCCCTAATTAACAAGATCCTCTGTTAACGAGTCGGAGCTGACACCTAGCGGGGCCCGGCAGCCCTGCAAGAGCCCGCTCAGTGCCCCGGCACGGAGGAGGGGGAGATGCCCCCCGCGTTCCCCCAGGCAGGGTCCGCAGGCACAGCGAGGGTGCGGGTTCTGCCGTGCTCCAGGGCTTCCTGCAGCTCCGCTGGTCCCGCTTCGCCCGGGTGCTCTTCACCCGCTCCTTCGCCATCCTGCCCACCGTCCTGGTGGCCGCCTTCAAGGATGTCAGCCACCTCACAGGCATGAATGACCTGCTCAACGTCCTGCAGAGCATCCTGGTAAGGGGCTGGGAGGGCATCACCTGCCCCAAACGCCCCAGCCTGGCAGCCGTGCCATCCTCACGCCGCTCTCCTTTCAGCTGCCTTTTGCCGTCCTGCCGGTCCTCACCTTCACCAGCCTGCAGCCGCTCATGCAGGACTTCAGCAACAGCCTGTGAGTGCCAGGGCACGGGGAGGCACACAGGAGGCAGAGAGGGGAGCTCTGGCTGCAGGCACCTTTCCTTTGGCCCATCCTGCCCCCCCAAACCAGGCCATGGGCAATTAGTGTATGGACACTGGAGGGGCGTGTTCATTGCCATCTGCCCAGGGCAGCCAGGGCGGAACAGACCCCATCACTACCCTCATCATCTTCCTCCCAATGACACATCTGGCTCCTTGGGCACCCCTAGACCCTCAGCATCCTCCTGGCACTGCCAGCCCTGGATTTGGAAGGTGGCCAAAATCCACACCTAGAGCCCCACCACGGGGTGACATATAGCTGTGGGGTGCCGAGATGTCCCAGTTGGGGTCTGGTTCATGTACGGACTCAGTTCCCCCAGCCCTGTGTGCCCCATGGCCCACAGGGTGGGGGCCCTGCCCTGATGCCCACTGCCCTGCTCGCAGCCCGGGGAAGGTGCTGATGACCCTCATAACGGGGCTGGTCTGCGCCATCAACATTTACTTCGTGGTGGACTTTCTGCCAACGCTGCACGGCCTGGAGTACCACATTCCCCTGAGCCTGCTGCTGGCTGCCTACGTGGCTTTCGTCGCCTACCTGGTAGGGCTGGCACTGCGGGACAGGGGCGGGACAGTGTCCCTGGTGGGTGTCATCCACCTGTCCTTTGTCCCGGCAGATCTGGACATGCAGCATCGCACACGGAGCCCGGTTCCTGGCCCGGGGCCACCACAGCCGGTTCAATTTCGGTCTCGCCCTCGACCCGACAGAGACACGGTGACAGATCCCATCCCCGCTTGTCATCCCCACGTCCCTGCCCAGCGCGGCCTCCTGCACACGGATTTGCTGCCACTCCGAGTCCGGGCATGTTTTAGGCAGGGATGCACCCAGCAAGGGAAGGGTTAACAGGCAGGCAGACCTCCCCCCAGGATCTCGGCGCTTCTTCCCACCCCCAACCCCCGCCAATTCCGGGGTGCGGGTCCGGGCTGGATGCGCGGGGAGCGGGAGAGCAGCGGCAGATTTCCCATCCACTGGCACAGACGCTTCACTGAACGAGCCGCGCCGGAGACTTCCCCCGCTCATTATGCCAGGAACCGCCGGCCCCCGGGACCGCTAATCACCGCTGGGCACCGCTAATTACGGCCGGCACCGCTAACCACCCCCCGCCGCCCCGGCCCCATCCCCACGGGGGGCTCCGCGGCTTGGGGGGAGGGAGGGGGCGGTGATAAACGCCGTGTTTGTAACCCGGCCTCGGCCCGGCTCTGCTGCCTCTGCTGCTGCTGGTGCTGCTGCGGGCCCCGCCGTGGGGCGGGGACCCCCGGACCCCCGCATCCCCCGGGCCCCCGCATCCCCCGGACCCCCGCACCCCGGGGCGGGGCACTGCTTGTCGCGTTGCCCCGGGGGGAGCGGGGCGGCGGCAGCCCCCCGGTGCCCTCCCCGCCCCGGATGCCCCGTTTCCCGCCGCAGGACCCCCCACCCCAAAATCCCCCCTGCCGACCCCCGCCGGCCGGCTGCCCGAGGTGGGACTTGGGGGCCCGGACACCCCCCCAGCCCGTGCCCCCCACTCCGGGAAGGGACCCCCCCCCGCTCCCGGGGGCCGCGCTTGTTTATGTGAAGAATGTCCCCTTCCTTAAAAGGGCGATGGCGGACGGGCTGGGGCGGTGCCTCCCCCGGCCGCGGGCTGCTGGAAGGAGGGGCCAGAGCTCTGGGGCCCACAAAAAGGCGGGGCTCCCCCTGCTCCGGGGGCGCAGCCCACCCCAGCCACGGGAGGAGGAGCGGGAGACGCCCCTAGGTCGGGGTGCACCTGCCCGGGGTCACCAAGGGGTAGGGGGGCTTCAGGGTGGTCCTCAGCGGGAGGAAGGCTGGAGGGACTGGGGTCTGCGGGATTTGCTGCTCTGCAGCTGGAGCCTGCAAGCCAGAGCACCCCCCGCCCGGGGACACCCCGCCCTTAGGAGCAAGTGTCCCACTCCAAGACCTGGCTCTGCGGTCCCTTGGCCATGGGGCTGCTCTTGGTGGGGCAGAGCGGCCAGGGCTGGGTTGGAGGAGAGGGGAAAGCATCCAGGATGCCAGTCTGGGAGCAGTGGGGTGGGACAGAAGGGTCCCTGAGCGCCCGACTGAGTGCAGCCTGATGCTCTTCTGCCTTGTGCCCGCACCCTGCAGCCCAAACAATCCAGCTGGGCTCCGCCTGCTCCTGGCCTGGGCTTGTCCCACAGCCCCAGGACAGGGACAGCATCTCCCTGAGCTCCCCAGCTCAACCTGCCCCCAAGCAGGCAGTGGAACTGGAAGTGGTGCTCCAACCACCGCTGCAAGCATTGACCCGGGAGTTCTCTAATTGCATTAATTGGAGGACTGACAGAGCCCGTCTGGACTCGTCAGGGAGGAGGAGGATGTAGCCAAAGGGACAGGGGTCCTGCCTGGGACAAGTGTGTGGCCTCTGCAGCTGTCCCCGCAGAAAGCAGCATCCCAGCCCGGCCAGATGCTGGGGATGAGGCAGACATCCATTCCAGTTCCACCTGGGCTAAAGGAGCACAGAGGTCAGCCCAAAATAGAGAGCAGAGGAAGCACAGCCCTTTCTTCCTTTTCCTCCTGCTGGGCCAGGAGGCAGCGGTGATTGCCCGATGTGGGAGGCGGCTGCCCTGCTGAGGAGGGGCAGGGAAACTGAGGCACGACTGCTGCCTGCCGTCAGAAGCGGCGCAGGGGGTGGCAGGATGTAGTGTCCCTGTTCCCAGCAGACACAGGGACAGCAGCCCGGCCCTGCCACGGCCCCCGGGGACACGCAGTGCCGGGATGTTCCGCGTGGAGCCGAGCGCGGGAGCCGCAGGTGCAAATCGGCTTTTGTACCGCCGGAGCTCCCCGCGGGGCACCTCCCAGGGCCGGACCCCATCCCCAGCGCGGTCACCTGTCGCGCGTGTCGCGTCCCTACAGGGCCATAAAGGCGATCTCACCTCCTGAAGTTCCCAAACCGCAGGTGGGAGAGGTGGAAAGATTTCAGATGAGCTCAGACGGGAAATTTCCAACCTGCGCAGCCTGGAGGCAGCGCTGACAGAGCGCGGAGCATCTCCTGCCGCCGAGGTGGCGAGGGTGGGACCGGGACGGGCCCCCAGGGCCGGGCGGGGCTGGGGGGCACGGCGGGGAGAGCCCCGCGGGGTGGGAGGGGAGGGGGCTGGGGGATGCTGCCCTTGGGGGCTTGGGGGGCGGATTTCCCCTCGGGGACTTGTGCCATCCACAAGCTCCTGTTGAGCCGCTTTTCAGACAGCGCCTGTAAACAGCCCTGTTTCCCCTCCGGGGAAGGAGTTGGAAGGGAAAATATATGTATTGATAATAGAGACTCATTAATTGCCCAGATAATTGGGGGATTTCAGGAGAAAGAACGACAGAAAAACGCGGCGGTTACTGGTGCAGTAACACCTGTAAGCCGCACGGCTGGCCTGGGCAGGCAGTGCGGGGTGTGCCCTCGGGGGGAATGGGGACCCCCAGCCTCGAGCCGCTAGTCCGGGGACCCTGCTCCTGGGGACACCCAGCATGGCGGGACGCGTACAAATGGGACATGTACATACGGGATGTGTACAAATGGGACACGTACATATGGGATGTGTACAAATGGGATGTGTACAAATGCGACACGTACATATGGCGGGGCAGCTGCAGAGGGACCCCCGGGCTGCAGCTGGAGCGGGCTGCCAGCAGGACTCATCCCCTCTCCACGCTCTCTCAGCGGGGCGGGGAGTGCGGGAGAGCCCGGCGGCGCGACGGGCACTCCTGCACGGTCACCATTATTAACGCGGCTGTCCTTCCCGGCCAAACCACGGCACACTCCCCGTCTGGGTCCCAGTCCGGCGCGGCCGGACCCCCTCTCCTGCCGGGCGGCGCGGGTGCCGGGAGGAGGGAGAGGAGGAGGAGGAGGAGGGAGAAGGAGGAGGGCCCCCCCGCCGCCGTTGCCCTTTTAAGGGGTTCCTTGAAACCGCGCCCGGGATCCATGTTTGCAGCCCCAGCCCGGGCGGAGGAAACTCCATGTTGTAACAAAGTTTCCTCCGCGGCGCCGCTCCCGCGCCCGCCGCCCCGCGCCGCCGCCGGCCCCCGCCCCGCCTCCCCCCCGGGGGCCGCGCCGGGGGGGGCCGCCCCCTCCCGCCCCCTCCCCGGCGCCCATGGAGCACCAGTCCATCATCGCCCAGGTCAGCCGGGAGGAGGGGAGCGCCCCGCTTCAGGAGAAAGGTAACGCGGCGGGGATCCGCTCCCCCTCGCCCCCTTCCTGCGCGGGGGAGGGAGGGGGGGTCCCCGGGGGTCGGGGGGCTGCCGGCGGAGGGTGCGATGAGCTGCGCGCCGCCCCGGCCCGGCCTCGCATCCCACTGCCGGGGGCCGGGGAGATGCGCTGGGGCTGTCCGCGCCCGCCCGGGCCCCTCGGAGCCGCCGGTGCCCTGGGGGGCTCGGGGCGTCGCTCGGGTTTTCCGCGCTGCTCCCTCCGGAGCCGGGCGAGAGGTGCGCGCAGCGCCGGCCGGCGGGGAAACTGAGGCAGGAAGGGCGCCGAGCGCCCTGCTGCATGCCGGCGTCCCGTTCCCCGCGTCCCCTCCGCCCCGCCAAGGCGGTTCGGCGGGGGCCCGTGCTCGGCTCCCTGGCCTGGGAAGCTGCCGGGGCCGGGAGGAGCAGACGCGGGAACGGGCCCCGTCCCCGGTGGGGAGCTCCTGCCCCACGGCCGCCCCACTACGGGCTCGGGGCCCTGGCCCGCCTGAAGCGGGGCACAGCCAGGGCGGGGTGCAGCCCCGGCAGGACCCGGCCCCGGCACCAGTGGGGCCGCTGGAGCCGTCGCGCTGCCCCTGGGGCACGGGGTGGGCACGGGCAGCCCCTCTGCCTCAGTTTCCCCGCGCTCCGCCAATGGGGACAGCGGGAACGGCGCCCAGGGGCGGGCGCCTCGTCCTGATTGGCCTCTCGCCTCCGGGGCACTCGAGCGGGCCAATGGGACGAGGGAGTTGCCTGGAGGCGGGGAAAGGAAGGGGCGTAAGCCCCGCCCCCGGGGAGCCCCCGCCCCCGGGACCCCCCTGCTCCCCGAGCGGGGCTGTGCCCCGGGGGGACAGCGGGGACCGGCCCCGACCCGCCACCGCCCCCGGCTCAGCCCGCGCCCTGCCCCAGGCTCCCCGGCCGCGCAGGGGCCACTCGTGGAGAGGGACGTGCCGGGCCGGGGGCTGTGGGTGGTCACCGAGTGTCAGCGCGCTGCCCTGGCACCGCAGGGCAGGAGGCATGACCGGATTGTCGGGGTCTGATAAGGGCACGGGGCTCTCACCCAAACACGGCTCACCTGGCCCCCGGTGCTGCGCTGGGCGTACCCCCGGGTACCCCTCACCCCCGTTCTGCCCTCCGCAGGTACCCAGACCCCTGCCAAGAAGCCTCGAAGCCGCAGCATTCTGCAGTCCCTGTTCTGCTGCCTGTGCCGCGATGAAGGGGAGCCCTGCGCTGGCACCACCGGCGCGCCGCTGCTGGTGGAGGAGAACGGGGCACTGCCCAAGGTAACCCCGCAGCCCCAGCCGGCAGCTGCGTGTCCCGAGTGGGCAGGACTGGGGCTGAGCAGTTCCTTATCCCCCTCTGCCCCGCTGTGGATGCCCTGCTGACCCGTGTCCCCCTGCTGCAGGCTGCTGTCAAGCACCTGCTGCCCGAGATCAAGCCGCAGGACGCCAGCAAGCTCTGCGTGGTCATCGACCTGGATGAGACCCTGGTGCACAGCTCCTTCAAGGTGGGGGACACCCTGGCCCCCCCCGCACCTCTCCCCCACATGCTCCCCCACCTGCTCTGCCACCCTGTTCCCACAAAGTGATGCCCAGCACCCAGCACAGCCTGGCTGGGTCATTGGGGTGTCCCCGTGAGGGGGCTGCGGGGCTGGCAGGGGTGCACAGCGAGCACAGAGCAGGCAGCATTTGGGCAGGGGGTGCCTGGCGTGCCCAGTGCTCATCCTGGTGTGCCCTTCCCCAGCCAGTGAACAACGCCGACTTCATCATTCCCGTGGAAATCGATGGCATCATGCACCAGGTAACAGCGGGGTGGGTGCCTGGTGGGAGGGGGGCATCATTCCACCTCCCCAGGACCGGGAGCCATCCCAGTGTTCTGCACCGAGGGGTGGTGGGAGCTACCAGGGAGCCAGCTTTGGCACGCTGCAGGGCAGAGGTGGGTGCCCCTTTGCAGGGCAGGGAGGTGAGGGGCGTCCTGGCATTGTGCCCTCGTGCAGTGGCCAGCCCCAGTTTCAAGTAATCCAGGATAGGCTGTGGTCTGGGCAGTCAGCCTGTTCTCGGTTACTTGGCTCTGGAGCCGGCCAGACGCTTCGCCCTGGGCGTTCCTGTGGGGCTGTGCCATCCCCCAGCCCGCACAGGCGGCTCCCCTGAGGTGTGGCCAGGGAGCTCTCGCTGCTGCCTGTGGGGTCGCAGGTGTCCCTGGGGGCGCTGGGTGAGCCGTGGCGGTGCCAGCAGCGCTGCCCTCTGTCCGTGCCCGCAGGTGTACGTGCTCAAGCGGCCGCATGTGGACGAGTTTCTGCAGCACATGGGCGAGCTCTTCGAGTGTGTGCTCTTCACTGCCAGCCTGGCCAAGGTGGGTGCCCCTTGCCTGCCCTGGCGTCGCCCACCCCTTCACAGACACCCTGCAGTGGCACAGCTCCCTTGCCTGCCCACCTGCAGGCATCCCTTGTCCCCTGTGTACCCACAGGCAGCACTGGGCGTCCTCCCTACCTGTGCTGTGCCTCAGTTTCCCTGGCCTCGCTGTGCCTCAGCTGGCCAGGGAAACTGAGGCACAGCGAGACCTGGCAGCAGTGGAGAGCCGTGTGCCATTGTCACTGTGCGGTGGGCAGGGCAGTGTGGTGTGTCATAGTGATCCCCCTCCTGTGCCTGTAGTATGCAGACCCTGTGGCTGACCTGCTGGATAAATGGGGGGCTTTCCGGGCACGACTCTTCCGCGAATCCTGCGTTTTCCATCGCGGCAACTACGTGAAGGACCTGAGCCGCCTGGGCCGTGACCTGCGCCGGATCATCATCGTGGACAACTCGCCCGCCTCCTACATCTTCCACCCCGATAACGCTGTACGTGTGCGCGGGGCAAGGCTGGGCGAGTGACGTGCTGGGGGGCCCTCTCTCGGCGTTGTCCCCTGTGCCACTGTGTCCCCTGTGCCACCTGCAGGTGCCCGTGGCCTCCTGGTTCGATAACATGGCGGACACAGAACTGCTGGACCTGCTGCCCTTCTTCGAGAGGCTCAGCAAGGTGGAGGACGTGTACGCAGTGCTCAAGAAGCAGCGGACTAACAGCTAATGGCCCCCCCACCCTCCGGGTGCTGCCGACGGGCTCCGCCGGGGGAGCCAGGTGCCTTATTCCGGGGGAGGGAGGGTCCCGGTGTGCCCGCATCGTCCTCCCCAGCCCCGCTGGGCGCGGGTGCCCGCCGTGCCTGCTGGTGGTGGGAGATGCGGGTGCCCCCGCCAGGAAGCTGGGTGCCCCCCTTCTCAGAGGAGGGGGGCCGTGGGTGACCCACTGCCTTGCTGTGCTGAGGACCTACTGGGGGGTCCCATCCTCCCCCACTGTCCAGCTCCTGCCCCCTTCCCCCCAGCCTGTGTCCCCCCTCCACGGAACGGTTCTCAGGTCCTTTTCCCCTCTGTCCCCCGATTGGGGAGGGGGGCGGGGTCAGCTGCTGCTGCTTTCCACTGCCTTTGGGAGGACTGGATCCCTCCATCCAGACTCTGCCTGCTGGGAGGCTGGCAGCCCTGTCTGCCGAGGCTACAGGACAGGTAACACCTTGTCACCCTCCGAAAACGCAGGGACTTGTGGCCTTGGCCGCCATGCCCTTAACTCTGCCCCGGGTGCAGCTGATCCCCTCGTGGGGGGCACGTCCTTGCCTCTCTTCGTGCCTGCTGCCCCGCCTGGGGGCTGTGTTTGGCAGGGGCAGCCCAGCCTCAGGGCTGAGCCCCCGGGCACAAATGCCTCCCACGTGCCTTGGGACGCCGTGTCTCTGTCCCCCTTAGCCCTGCAAGGGGTGTGCCTGGGCGGGGGCTCTTTACTTGCCCCCTCCAACTTCAGTTCCTTCTCATTTTGGGGGAGAGGTGGCCTCCCCCCTCTCCAGTTACACTGTGTCACTGGGAGCCACTCTGGTCACCAAGAGAAGGGTCCCCTCCCATGGTGGGGGGCACACCCCCTACTCCATATCCATCTGCAGCTTCCCCAGAGGCTGCTGGTCCTGGGAGAGAGGGACCCCCGTGCCAGCCTTAATGTGCCCCTCCCAGCCTTGCCCCAGTCCCCCTGCTGGGAGGGGCTGGGGGACACTGCAGCCCCCCCGTAGCCCGGGGTTGCCCTGACCCCCGTGGGGTTGGACTTGTGCCAGGGTGTCCCCCAGCTTTGAGGGTCTGGGGGCTCTCAGGGAGGGTTTTTCTGGGGGGAGGCGCTGAGCTCAGCCAGGCCTTTTTTAATGTCACAATATGGACAATGCCTCATATCTTTTTAGAGGGAAAAGCAACGGTTTCCCAAAAAAATCATGGGTGCCTTTTTAGCGCTGTGGCAGCGCAGGGGCGGGGCAGTATTTGGGGGGTGGGTGTGAAGGGTTTTAGCTTTCAGGTGCTGTCCAGCCAGCTCCTGCTGGCACTGCCCTGCTCCCGGTGCTGGGGGTGAGCAGGGGGCCCCCAGCCCCCCGCAGCCCTGCCCTGTGCCTGGATCCCTGCCAGCCCCGGGCCTCATCCTGCCCTGCCAGCAGGGTCGAACTCAGCACTTTATGTTAGACAAGTCAAAGGGCGCCGCTGCCCAGCGAGTGCCTCTGGGTGCTGCGGAGTACAGCCCAGGAGTGCGGCCCTGCCCTGGGCACCCTTGGGAGCTCTGGGGGATGCAGAGGCAGCACGGGGGGCTGGGGAGGGCTGGGGTACCAGATCCAAGTGCCTTCATGTGATTAAAGCTGTCAAACCATCTTGGAAAGAGTAGTCCTGAGTGTGTGTGTGTGGGCATGGGTACATGTCACAGCACAGTGAGGGGGACACGGAGCCCCCGGGATCCCCTGAGTCCCCTGGGAGGGGGGGATGCTGCCAGGGAAGCGCCTTTGGACTGCAGGGTTGAGGTGCCACCCCTTGCCTGGTGCCAAGGGGACACCCTCACACTGGAGGACAGCCCCTCCAGGCTGCCCTGCCACCTTCCTGCCAAACTCCTTCCCCTCCTCCTGGGAAAAGGCCCCTGGGATGGGTGTCCTGCCCCTTAACAAGGAGGAGGCAAATTTACCACTTGGGCTGTGCCCTCCTCCCAGCTTTGAGCCTGCAAATGAGTTTGCTCCAGGTAAGGTGCCAGGCCTTCCCCACAGACTGGGGGAACACCTCCTCCTCCCAGCTTTGAGCCTGCAAATGAGTTTGCTCCAGGTAAGGTGCCAGGCCTTTCCCATATCGACTGGGGGGACCCTGGGGGACAACTTGTGACCCCCTCCCCGCCATCCCCGGCAGTCTGCTGCCAGCGTGCAGGCACTGGGTTCCTGGGGGAATGTCTCTCAGCTGCCCCCTCCCCCGTGCCCTCATTGGCCCTATGCCTCCCCTCATTAATGAAATCTCTGTCCTCCCCGATGGCTGCACTAATTACTGAGTTCATTAGTGGCCCGGCTGGGGGCCTGGAGAGGGGGTGAGCCCGCTGGGGCCGGCGAGGGGTCCCCTACCCCTGTGCCACACTGACAGACTGCCCTGGGACACAGCCACTGAGCAGAGGGTGACAGCGGCCACCCGGGTGTTCCACCCACCCCAAACGCCCCTCTGGGGTTCTGCACCCAGGTAGGGGTTCCACGGGGACACTCGAGTGGGGTGCAGGAGGTGGGTGGCAGGGTTTGGAGGGTTTGGGGGCCAGGGGAGTGCAGGGCACAGCAGAGCCCTCCCCTGTGGCATCAGGACACCCCCTGTTTGTGGCTGACATGCCCCTGTTCTGGTTCAGCCATTGTCATCACCTGGGGGATCCCTGCAGGGGGGACTGTCAGGCAGGGTTTGGGGCTGCAGGCAGTGCTTGGGGCCAGGACTGCTGGCTCAGCAGGGCAGGCACGACAAAGCTGCAGCAATCCCCAGGGCTGGGGAGGACAGAAGGGCAGGACAGGAGCCCGGGGGCCCGCCTGCTGCTGACACCTGCCCCTCCCACCTTCATGGGGCCGTGGTCATTCCGTGAAACCACCGTCGGGCCTGGGAGCCCCTTCAGCCCCTTCTCTCTGCCAGCACCAAGGGCATCATCACATACCAGCCCTTGGGACTGGGGTCTGGGGGCACAGGATGGGGCACAGGGCTTAGCCGTGCCACCACTTCATGTCCTGTCCTGCCCCATGTCCCACCTGTGCACCCCCTTTCCATCCCCAGAAGGACCTTGGGGCTGTGGAGGCTCCAAGGGAGGGAGGCAAAGCAGAGGTGAGCAGGGATCTGGCTTCCAGCTGGGGTGTGAAACAGCCTGGGGACAGTCCCAGGGTCAGGGTGGCACTGTGCCAGTTAGGGGGTGGGACGGGGATGCCCCAGGTGCTGCATTGCTGTCACTTCATGGAACATTTCTCGGGGAGGAGGGACCAAAAACCCCCTTTCCATGGTCTGAGTGCTCCATGTCTGGGAGGGTTTGGGGATTTTAGGGTGTGGCGAGTGAAGAGCAGTGGCCATCCCCATGGCATCAAGGCACCTGTGTTTGTGGCTGATGCTCACGTGTCCTGCTCCAGCCCATTGCTATCACTTTTTATGGGACTTCTTGGTGGAGTGCAAAAGAAAAAAATTCAGCATGGACTCAGTACCAGGGGCCAAGAGGAGCAGAGGCCTGGGGAGGGCAGAGGAGCCACCCTGGGCACAGCCAGCCCCTGGGCAGGGTGCAATAGCATCTGGGGGGGAACACCCCATGAGTAACGGGGCTCTTAGGTGCCACAAAGTCTTGGAGGGCTGTGGGGACCTTGACTCTGGGCTGTCCCTGCCCTTATATGGTGAGCAAAGGCTGGGACATGAGGGAACAAAGGTCTCCTGGGTGCTGGCACCTGAGCACTCCACCTAGGTACGCTCACCTGTGCACCCAGCTCTGCAGGGAAGGTGAGGAGCTGGGGCAGGGTGAGGGACAGAGGGTGGGCATGGGGTGGGCAGCACGTCCCATGGCCACCATCACTCCCGGCATCGGGTTAGCCTGGGAATGGGCTTGGGGATGTCCCTGAGCCCCATCTTGGGGCTGTGCTGAAGGGAATGCTTCCCCCTGGGTCTGAGGTGTGGGATGTGGGTGCTTGTGGGGCCAGGTGGGGTTTGGCAGGGCTGGGAAGCAGAAACCTCCCATGTGGGCAATGCCAGCACTCCGTGCCAGCCTCCAGCCAGGAGCACAGGGTGGCTTTGCCTGACTCGGCCCCTCTGCCTGCTTGAGGGGAGCCCTGTCAGCCTGGCAGAGATGGCTGTGGGCAAGCTCGGCAGCGCTGGCACCCAGCACCCCTGTGGAGCTAGGATGTGCCCTGGGCTGGGTTTGGAGGCAGGGGGCTGAAGCAGGCAGTGTGTGTGCATCTGTGTGTGTTGTGTGTGTAAGCAGTGGCCAAGCCGTGCCAGGACAAGGCTGAGCAGGGCCAGTTCCTGCTGGTCCTGGGGAGGAGCAGGCCACCGTGCAGCAGTGTCACCCAGCTGCAGCTCATGCACTGCCCTGTCCCGTGCTTGGAGCCAGGGCAGGGCACTGGGGCACTTCTGGAACGCTGCACCTTCCCAGCCTGGACCCTGTACGGACTCATTAGCTGCGGTGCCAGCCAAGCCGAGGGGATGGCAGCCCCACCTGTGTGCCACATTGCTGGTGCCAGGGTGCTGGGGGTCCCCTTGCCCTGTGCAGCTCTGTGCAGGGCGGGTTCACAGCGGGGCTTTCTGCAGAGCAAGCAGGGAAGCAGATGGCACAGCAGGCTGGCTGTGTCCCAGCTCTTAATGACACTGCCTGCCATTAACGAGGGTGTTGCCAATGCTGGCAGGTCCCCTCGCCGGTGGTACCTGTCACCATGGTGGAGCTCAGCGCCAAAGTCTCCAGGACACTGAACAAGACCACGCCGGGCATCCAGATATGGCGGATTGAGGTGGGAACACCATTGGGGCTGCCTGGGGGGCCTCTGAGGGAAGAGCCTCCCTGTGTGCCCTCAGTAGCTGGTTTGGGGTCTCAGTGCAGCATCCGGGGTTAAACCCAGCAGCTCCCGGTGCTGGGGGCACTGGGGTGCATGGGGCTGGGCTGGGGGTCCCCCCACCAGGGCTGATGTCTGCCTTCCTTCTGCAGAGCATGGAGATGGTGCCGGTGCCCACCAAAAGCTACGGCAACTTCTACGAGGGGGATTGCTACGTCCTGCTGTCGGTAGGGCAGTCGGGGGCACAGGGAGCTGGGAAGGGGCTCTGCCCCGAGGGGCCGGGCGCAGGGAGGGATGTCTGCGGCCAGCCTGGCCTGGGGACACGGGGGCTCTTCTAGCGGGGACCGGTGTCCCGCAGACACGCAAGTCTGGGAGCAGCTTCAGCTACGACATCCACTACTGGCTGGGCAAGGAGTCAAGCCAGGATGAGCAGGGGGCGGCCGCCATCTACACCACCCAGATGGACGAGCACCTGGGCTCCGTGGCCGTGCAGCACCGCGAGGTCCAGGGACATGAGAGCGAGACCTTCCGCGCCTACTTCAAGCAGGGACTCATGTATGTGGTCACCCCGGGGCACCCATGGTGGGTGACAGTGGGGAGGGGGCCTGTGGAGACGTGCCCAGAGGGGATGGGGACAGCTCTGTCTCAGCGAGGTGGGGGAGGAAGAGGGAGGATCTGGAGCTCTGTCTCTCCATTACCACGTGTGTGTGTACCCCGAACACCTCCCTGTGCACAGAGGTGGGAGGGACACCCCAGTGGTGTGAGGAAGGGGACCCAGGGCTGACACCATGTCTGTCCCCTCCCAGCTATAAGAAGGGTGGGGTGGCCTCAGGCATGAAGCATGTGGAGACCAACACCTACAACGTCCAGCGACTGCTGCATGTGAAGGGCAAGAAGAACGTGGTGGCAGGAGAGGTGAGTCATGGGATGTGTGGAGTCTGGATCAGGATCAGGCCAGAGCACCCCCAGACACAGCTGCCTTCAAGCAGGGCACACAGTGGGTGTGGGATGATGCTGCCTTGCCTTGAAACTGCTCCCCAGAAAGCTTCTCTCAGGGCAGGGAGGAGGAATATAGGCTGGAGTCCCATATTCCTGAGTGAGAGGGGCTGTAGAGCCATGGGGCTCCAGGCATTCTGCTGCTGGCCACCCACCCTGCTCAATCCCATCCTGCTGCAGGTGGAGATGAGCTGGAAAAGCTTCAACAGAGGAGATGTATTCCTGCTGGACCTGGGGCAGCTCATCATCCAGTGGAATGGCCCTGAGAGCAACCGAAACGAGAGGCTGAGGGTATGGCCAGGGGCTCCCAAGGTCCCCTCCTGGAGGAGGGAGGGTCACCAGCCACTCCCTCCCTCATCTGGGCTTATCCTTCTCCCCTGGCTGCAGGCGATGACCCTGGCCAAGGATATCCGGGACCGGGAACGTGGGGGCCGTGCCAAGGTGGGCGTAGTGGATGGTGAGGATGAGGATGCCTCACCAGGGCTCATGAAGGTCCTTAAGCATGTGCTGGGTGAGAAGAGGGACATCCAGCCCGCCATCCCTGATGACAAAGTGGACCAGAAACTCAAATCCTCCCTCAAGCTCTACCAGTGAGTTGTTGGGGGTGGGTTACGCATGGAGCATTTTCCATGGTGTCAGAGGGAGCCAGGAGCCATCTCTGCTGTGTCCCCCAATTCCCAGCCCCATGGACAGACACCAGGAAGGCTCAAAGCTGCAGCAGGGGTGGGGATAAGTCCTTTGGGTGCCATTGGAGCTAGAGGAATCCCAGCTGCCAAGAGGATTGGTACCCGATAGAGATGCTCGTGCAAGCATCGCCTTTGGATGCTGTGGCAATGTGCCTCAGTGGCCCCAAAGCATCTGA